GATATGTGCCACTTCCAGACCTGGAATTCAAACTACCTTCCCATGCTCTCCCTCCCCATCCCCTGGCAATCCTGTGGCAGCCCTGTGTTGGAGGAGGCATCACAGATGCAGAGAATCAGTAATTGGCCTGTGACGTGAGCAAGAATAAACCTGTGTTGTGGTTGGCCACTGAGATGTTGGGGTTGTTTGTTACAACAGCTCATGTTGCTTATTCTGACTGATACAGGCAGACAATGCAAACAGGGACAGCTTGAATCCTGTGGCTGGATCACAGTGTCCAGGAGTGCTCATTGTGAGGTAATGTGTGATGGCTAATGCTAGCTGGTAGTGGGTATGAAGTCAGAGGAGGGGAAGGATGAATGGTGAAAGCTGAAATGCACGGCACATAGTAGGTGCTCAATAAAATAGAATGAATGAAATATACAAAAACATTGGAAGAGCTTTGCTGTGATGGCTGAAGTTGCCAGATACCCAGAGGATGGTGGGGCTTGGTTGGGGGATAGGAGTAGAGAAGTTACCCTGGGAAGAAAGATCTGGAGGGGAGAAAGGGCCACACTTGTCCATGGGTCAGAGATCAGTGACCAGTCACTCCAGCCCAAGCAGGAGAGTATTTGGAAATGGAGCTGGAACTTGCAGGCCTTCAAATGCCAAGAGGGGCAATTTAGACCTCAGGCTGCTGATTACTTTACTTTTACAGCCTAAGATCTAAAAGACCTTGTGTTTGTCCGAAGTTTGAAGTGGTCTCCCAGGTGGGTGTGGGCATCAATCCACTGGGGCACAGGAAGAAAATGGTAAAACTCCCATTCATGTTTATCTCACTTCCTCTTCCTCTTCTTCTTTTTTTTGAGACGGAGTTTCGCTCTTGTTACCCAGGCTGGAGTGCAATGGCGCGATCTCGGCTCACCGCAACCTCCGCCTCCCGGGTTCAGGCAATTCTCCTGCCTCAGGCTCCCGAGTAGCTGGGATTACAGGCACGCACCACCATGCCCAGCTAATGTTTTGTATTTTTAGTAGAGATGGGGTTTCACCGTGTTGACCAGGATGGTCTCGATCTCTTGACCTCGTGATCCACCCGCCTCGGCCTCCCAAAGTGCTGGGATTACAGGCTTGAGCCACCGTGCCCGGCTTTTTTTTTTTTTTTTTTTTAAATTAAGATGGAGTCTCACTCTGTTACCCAGGCTGGAGTGCAGTGGTGCAATCTCAGCTCACTGCAACCTCCACCTCCCCGGTTCAAGCAGTTCTCCTGCCTCAGCCTCCCGAGCACCTGGGATTACAGGCGCACACCACCACATTCAGTTATTTTTTATTTTATTTTATTTTAGTATTTTTGGTAGAGATGGGGTTTCACCATGTTTTCCAGGCTGGTCTTGAACTTCTGACCTCAGGTGATCTGCCTGCCTCGGCCTCCCAAAGTGCTGGGATTACAGGCGTGAGCCACTGTGCCCTGTCTATCTCACTTCTTTAAATGTCTGTTTTTTTGTGTCTATGAAGCTACCAAGGCTCAGAGAGGTTGAGTAACTCATGCAAGGTCACACAGCTACTAAGTGTGCCTGACTTCAAAACCCCGCTGTGCTCTTCACATATGCTGAATCTTGTGCAGACAGATAAGGGCTTGGGTGGGGACAGAGGCAAGTCTAGAGGAGGGTGGCTGGGAGAGCAGGCAGCTCCTGGCTGTTTCTGCCACTGTGGGCAGAGGTTAAGGAGCCTGCCCAGGCCTGCTCACTAGGCCTGCAGGGCCTGTTGGGAAACATGGCAGCAGGGAGCCCGGGTGAGGGCAGGCCTGCTGTACAAAGTGCCTTGTCCCAGGCTCACCATTCAGCCTTGCTTGTGAGCAGAATCCCGAGCCAGGGATGGGGAGGACCAGGGGCTGAGAGGTCAGGATGAGATGACAGAGAGGGATAGGAATGAGTTGGAGGGGGGGTGTCACTCAGACTCTGGGCGCAGCTGGCAGGGGTAGGTCAGCCGCTCTGCCACCCACCCACACTCATGCCAACTCCATGGCCAAGGGAGTAGGTGCCATGCCTTCCCCTGCTCCACTGTGCTGGGTTTAGGGGTGACTTTACCTTCTGATTTATACCTCTACAGAAGGCAATTACCGGCCGGGCGTGGTGGCTCACACCTGTAATCCCAGCACTTTGGGAGGCCGAGGCAGGAGGATCACCTGAGATCAGGAGTTTGAGACCAGCCTGACCAACATGGAGAAACCCCATCTCTACTAAAAATACAAAATTAGCCGGGCATGGTGGCACGTGCCTGTAATCCCAGCTACTTGGGAGGCTGAGGCAGGAGAATTGCTTGAACCCAGAGGTGGATGTTATGGTAAGTCAAGATTGTGCCACTGTGTTCCAGCCTGGGCAACAAGAGCAAAACTCTGTCTCAAAAACAAAACACACACACACACATACACACACACACACACACACACACACATACATATACATATATACATACACACACATATATATCACCTAGACAGAAAAATGCATATCTCCTAACAGTATGGCATGATGAAGTTTTACAAACTGAACACAGGCAAGGGTAACTAGAACCCAGTTTAAGAAACAAAACATCCTGGCCAATATAGTGAAACCCCATCTTTTCTAAAAATTAGCCGAGTGTGGTGGAGCATGCCTGTAATCCCAGCTACTCAGGAGGCTGAGGCAAAAGAATCGCTTGAACCCAAGAGGTGGAGGTTGCAATGAGCCAAGATTGTGCCACTGCACTCCAGCCTGGTGACAGAGCGAGACTCCGTCTCAAAAAGAAAAGAAAAAAAAAAAAGAAACAAAACATTTTTCAGCCCCTAGAGAAGCCCCTCATTCCCCTTCTAGTCACTGTCCCTAATCAGTAAAAGCCATCCTAATTTCTAACGCCATTGATGCATTTTGCCTGTTTCTGAACTATATACACGTGGGATCACCTGGTGGGTGTTCTTTTGTGTCTGGTTTCTATTTGTTCAGCATTAGGCTCGGGCTGTGTAGTGATCCCCCCATCGTGTGCATACACCACAGTTTATTGATTGTTCCCAGTGTTATCTTTTGAGTAATGCCACTATGAATATTTGTGTATGTTTCTTTGCTTTTCTGTTGAGTATATATCTAGGGTATGCATGTGTTCAACTTAAACTCTTTTCACTTTTTTTCTTTTTTTTGAGATGAAGTCTTGCTCTGTGACCCAGGCTGGAGTGCAGTGGTGCGATCTTGGCACACTGCAACCTCTGCCTCCCGGGTTCAAGCGATTCTCCTGCCTCAGCCTCTCAAACAGCTGGGATTACAGGCATGTGCTACCGCGCCCGGCTAATTATTGTATTTTTCGTAGAGACGGGGTTTCACCATGTTGGCCAGGCAGGTCTCAAACTCCTGACCTCAAGTGTTCCGCCCACCTCTGCCTCCCAAAGTGCTGGGATTACGGGCGAGAGCCACTGCACCTGGCCTTAGATGATGCCATCCTTGAGGGATGTGGGGAATCCATGAAACCTCATCAGTATGCGACTGTCAGTGGTAACCTGTGAGGTGAGATTTGGTTTATTAAACTGTCAGCCCCTTAGAATACTGAGCTGGTAAACAGACCTTATCCTTTGATAAAGAATGAAAGGGATAAGCTCATACAAATTCGTAATTAGCCGAGCTTCGTGCTCCTGTGTGTGCCAAGCTCCTGGGGAGGCTGAGGAGGAGGATACTTGAGCCCAGGAAATTGAGGCTGCAGCGAGCTATGACTGCGCCACTGCACTCCAGCCTGGGTGATAGAGCGAGACCCTGTCTCTAAAAAAATGATAGAGAAAAAGAATTCCTGAAGAAAAACACTGGAAAGGACTCAAAAGGAATCAAAGTCATTAGGGTCCTTGACAGGCCTCCTCCAACTTTTCTTTCCTTAGGGTCTCCTGGTAAAAATGCCCACGTCCCCACCCTACCAGACCCCTTAAGTCATGAGACTTCAATATGAAATCGGGAAAAAGTAAAAGGAAAAAGACAAGAGAAAGGGTATTCAGGAGCAGGGAAGAGGAGTTCGCAGCGGACAGAGGCTTATCCCCTGAGGACCACGGTCATCTCCAGCAGTGCGGGGTGTGGACCTGGGCGGATGGGAAGGGGCTGTGGCAGCTGTGGCTCCCAGATCTCAGAGGGCTCGCCTGAGGCCCCGGCCCTGGGTTCCGACCTGGGCACTCCTGAGGGACTGGAATGGCAGCTGGGCCCGCCTGCCCACCCAGAACCATGACCTCTGGATGTGTTTTCCCCATAGCTACCCCCCTTCACCCAAAACATGACTGGGCTGAAGAACCAGCTCCCCTGGGGTGACCTCTGCTGAAGCCACACTCAGAGGGGACCTCTCACCCCTTGACCCATGGGGAGGGGCAATGGCAGGGGAGTGAGTCCTTGAACTTTCTGTCCCAGGAATTCCCAGATGTTTGTGTGCCCGGTATTGCCCCAGGTAAGCCAGAGCTTGGGAAAAACGAGGAGGCCTCTGCAGCACCGAGGGTCCCGCCTGCTGGCAGAGACATACAAAGGCATGTGCCACGTGGGTGACGTGTGGAAGCAGCAGCTCAGTGCCACTAAGAAGAGTCAGGGTCGGGGGAGGGGAAGGCTCGGACAGACCCCAGGGACCAAGGGAACTCAGGGAGTTATTTGAGGTCGGAGGTCAGGGAAGGCCCTCCGCATGTGGCCGGGAGTTGGTGAGGGTTGGGGGGTTGGGTGGGGTCTACACTGGGGTCTCTGTGCCCCTGGCGCCTCTGTCCCTACTACCTGGGACTGGGTCTCACCGCAGGGTGGCCTCCCTACCCACCCCCGCCCCCATTCCCGGCGGCTGGCTCCGGATCCTCCCCCGCGGCGGTTCTGGTGCAGCCCGCCAGGGTCCCGCACGGGGCCGGGCCCGGGTCTCCGGAGGGCACAGCAGAGGAGCCAGGGTGTCTAGCACCTTGACCCTGTGGGCGGGTGTCCCCAGGCGGCTCGTGACTCCGCCCCGCCCCGCCCCGCCTCGCCTGTGCCGCAGACACCCGCCTCGTCCTCCAGTCCTCCGTGCGCGCCGGGCCCGAGCCCACGCAATCCACGGGGCCCACGGAGCCCAGGTAGCCCATGGAACCCGCGCCGAGCGCGCCCCAGGGGGGCGAGGCGCTGCTGCGGCAGCTGGAAGTGCTGGTCCAGGACGTGGTGAGGACGAGCTCCTGGTGGGAGCGCCACGGCGTGGACTGCGCCATCCTCGCGCTCAGCCTCCTCGCCTTGCCGGCCGGTGAGGAACGTGAGGACCTGGCAACCCGGCCGGGCTGCGGGGCGGGGGGCGGGGGCGGCGGAGGTGGCGGCGCGGGCTCTGGGAGTGCAGCCCGGCAGAGTGGACCCGCAGCGGCAGGCAGGCGGAGGTGGCCGGGCGACCCCAGGATGGAGGGTCACACCAACCCCGAGAGTCTGGACTGGTGTGTCCTGCCCTGTGTCCCCTAGGAGCGGGGCGCAGGAGGAGGGACGGAGTCTGATGGCAGGAGGGTGGTGGAAGGGAAAGTCGAGATGGGGGTGGGAGTGGCGGGAGGGATGAGATGTGACTGGAGACGGGGTGGGAGTTTCCCCTGGCCCCTTTCTGGTCTGGAACACCCATGGTACCTGAGGCCCCCTCACTGCTTTGGCTGGGGGCCCAGGAAGGAAACCATGGGAGAGTCAGGACCACTGGAGGGGCAATCCTGGTCCCCTTCAGGCCGCAGTGGAACCTGCCTCGCCCCCAGCCTGTGGCAGCCCCCGGAGCCTGGTCCACTTTAATTTGGGCTCCCAGGGTAGGGGTTGAAGTGTTTGGGCCCAGATCACCCAGAACTAGAGAAAGACTCGGTCCCCTGCCTCCTCCCCACGCAGGGTTTCTGTGCCTGCGCTCCGAGAATGCCCTGGTCTTTTCGTCGGGCATCACCGTCTTGGGTGTGTGCCACTATACACTCACTGTCAAAGGTAGCCACCTGGCCACTCACGGGGCCCTGACGGAGTCCAAACGCTGGAGCAAGATCTGGCTGCTTTTCTTTGTGGAGGTGAGCCTGGGAGAAGGAGGATGTGAGCAGCTGCTGGGACCATGTGGGCAACCTCTTTCTTCTGTGCAAGCATGTGGGTAGGTCCAGCTGTGCGTGTGCCCGAGGGGCAGGTGGCGGCGGCTGATGGTACGCGGGTCCACGTGTGCAGTACGCACTACAGTGTGTCTGTGCACTTCTCCAAGCCCTTGAGAGGGTGTTTGCGCCCCATGGTAGAAAACTGCATGATGACTATGCGACTGTCTTGGCCCACAGGTCCAACCACTGGGGCCTCCAGGTTTTGCAATCAGGGTTTAAAATGTGAACCACTGACAGAAGGGTGGGGGGGAGGGGCCCTTCACTCCAGATGCTGCTCCTCTGACGCCGGGCCATGGCCCAGCCTTCCTGAGAAGCCCCCTGCTCCCTGGGGTCAGCTCCAGGAAGGACCCACCTCACCTGACCCTTGCCCTCTCTTCTTCCACCCCTTGCCAGTTCTGCCTTGGCCTTCCTACCTTTGGGCAAGGCCAGGAAGGCAAAGGTTTCTGACCAGCTTGTCTTTCTCTCTTAACTGGTCTCCAAGCCTCTCTAGTTCCTCTGCTGAACTTGCTCCCTCCTCCTTTCCAGGGACACCGTCGCCTGGCCACCCAGGTGATGGTCCCCCTGAATAAATCAATGGCCACACCTAATGAATAAATAGGAAAGCCGGGACCAGAAACAAATCTTTTCTGGAAGGACTGGTTATTGTGACCAAATAACTTAATTATTAAGTTTTTATAAAGTTACATGACTTTATATAACTATCTACGCACATATATCTGTATATCTATAATACTACCCACTCAGCTGAGTGGATGAAGCATTTCTCACCTAGCACTGTCGTATCCCCTGTGCCTTCTCCGTCCCTGCCCTTCTTACCAGCACACACATCTAAAGTGCTGAAGACAAGAGGAACCGACAGGCTTCTGATCCTCAGGGTCAATTTTGAGATAGTTCCTTTCCCTGGGAGCCCTGAGCATTGGTCCTGGCCAGACTCTTAGACACCGGCCAGGCCCTGGAGTCTGGGTCAGCTGCCCGCCAAGTTTGTAATCCACAGAGAGGCAAGGGAGACATTGGACTGTGCTGGTGACATGGACTGTGTCATAACGCTGGGTCACGGGGCTGAATGAGCTGTTTCCATTGTTTAAAAAAAGCTATACCGAGTGCCAGGAGCCTGGAGGCAGCTGAGGATAAGGAGCAGGTACCGAGACTTTGGGACTGCTTGTCTGTAAGGGATTTACTGCACAGAGCTAACCTAGAGGTTCTCAAACTTTGGTGTTCGAGACCCGGCCGGGCTGCGGGTGGGGGTGGGGGTGGCGGAGGTGGTGGCGCTGGCTCTGTTGCAGCAGCCGGTGGGCGCATGGCTGGGCAGAGTGGACTGGCGGTGGCAGACAGCAGGAGGTGGCCAGGTGACTGCAGGATGGAGGGTCCCACCCGAACCAGAGAGTCTGGACTGGTGTGTTCTGCCCTGTGTCCCCTAGGATCGGGGTGCAGGAGGAGGGAGGGAGTCTGGTGGCAGAATGACCTGAAGGCCCAGGCTTGCTAGAGAAGTGGACTTGGGCCACTGTGTTTTCACCAAGTTCCGCAGGTGAATCTGATACACAACACCAAAGTGTTATGCCCACATAGTAGCTATCATGTGTGCCAAATGAAGGCAGGAGGCCGAGGACGCCTCCTCTGAGAAGCTTTCCTGGGCTTTTCTGCTGGAGCTCTCCACCCAAAACCCAGCACGAAGGAGATACCCAGGTAGCCTTCGGGCTGCATTCTGCTTGTGAATGCTGTCTTTTCCCCATAAGCCTGGTGGCTTCATCTTTTTGACTCTTTGACTCTTCAGCTTCTGGAGACCTGAGCTCTTGCTAGGTCTTCTATCACTATTTGTTGACGATGACCCTGCAGTTGTATAGGGAACTGGGTCCAGGCCTGCGAGCCCCCTGGAAGCTGGGGAGGGAAGGCTTGGCTCCAGCCTCATGTGGTGTGACACCCGGCTGGTGGGCTGCAGTGGGCTGAGGAACAGGGCCTGAGTAGTTTATCACTCAAGCCTCCGACTAACCTACATGGGATGCGTCTTGAGTTTTTTCATCCCACAGTTTCGCTCCAGTTACCCTCTGGGAGGGCCCAGCCCCAGTGTCAGGGAAGGGGTGGACCAGTCTTCCCAATCTGGCTGGTATCGGTGAGGGAAGTTCAGTGCCGGAGGAGGTGCTGGTCCTGCCTGCCAGGCAGGGTGGTGTCGAGGACAGTGTCTGGGGCTCACGCCTGTAATCCCAGCACTTTGGGGAGGCCGAGGCAGGCGGATCACCTGAGGTCAGGAGTTCAAGACCAGCCTTTGAAGCAGTGGTTTCTGGCGCATGCTGCATCCCACGCTGCACAAGGGAACCATGGGGGATAAAGAAAGACACAGGCATAGACATAGAGAAAGCTGGCCCAGGTGGTCCGGGGTGTGAGGATGTCAGTCTCTCTGGCTGACCTGTCTCAAGAGTACTTCATTTATATGTTTCCAAAGCACATAGCAGAGGGAGGTTGCAGTTACTTAGAACAGCCTGTGGTTATAATTCTCATACTTCAGTTCGAATACTTCAGCTAACAACTTTTTGCAGCAAGGTCAGTGAAAGCTGGTTATCTCTCCAGGCCTGTCTCTGTTCTATTCCGAGACATACACATCCTCCTATTATGGTTTTGTTTATCTGGAGTTCACTCCAAGTTCACAGCAGCCTTGCTGCTGATCCCCCCAGAGAGCGGGGGCTACTCTGGCTCTCTACAGTGGCTGGAATCTCAGCCCACTGGCTGCCCTGACCTTGAGCAAGTTACTTAATTCAACATTTAAGTGTCACTTTCCTCACCTAATAAGCAGGAGAAATAACAGGACCCCCCTCATGAGGCCAGCATGTGGATTAAACGTAGCAGTGCAGATCGTAACGGAGGGCGTGATCCTGACAGGCTTCACCAGTGTGATCGTCGCTTTCTTTCTCTGGAGTTAATGTGGTCAGCTGCAAGGAAAGGGTTAGCAGTTGTTCGTTTGCTTTGTTTGTCTTTTTTTTTTTTTTTTTTTTTTGAGACAGAGTCTCATTCTGTTGCCCAGGCTAGAATGCAATGATGCAATCTCTTCTCACTGCAACCTCCACCTCCCGGGTTCAAGCAATTCTCCCACCTCAGCTTCCCCAGTAGCTGGGATTACAGGCACCTGCCATCACGCCTGGTTATTTTTGTGTGTGTATTTTTGTAGAGACGGGGTTTCACCATGTTGGCCAGGCTGGTCTTGAACTCCTGACCTCAGGTGAGCCACCTGCCTCGGCCTCCCGAAGTGCTGGGATTACAGGCATGAACCACAGCACCCGGCCTGTTGTTGTTGCTTTTTTAACTGCAAGGTTGCAAAGCTTGACAGAGCTCTGTATACGTTGGAGGATCGGATGCTGGGTCCTCTGGGCCTCAGCAGGGCGCAGAGGACAAGTTCTTGCTGCCTAGGACCTCAGAGGATGCCCTGGGACCCTTCCTAGATCTCTGACTCTCCTCCCACATCTTGGTGTCTTCTCTCTTAGGATCCTTCCTTGGGGGGTACCTGTGCTCTTCCCAAACCTTGACGCTCAGGAGACATCATCGCTGCAGAATAATGTAGCCTACAGACCTAGGTTCTTTTTGGTGTTTGGCAAATACTGCAGCCTCAGGCATTAACTGAGTATCACTGGGCGCTCAGCTTTTGCTGGGATTGTCTCAGGGTTTGCCAGCTCCAAGCTGGGCCATGGGATCTGGGGGAGGGGCAGACAGGCTGGAGGGGGAGGCTTCCGCTCCAGGCTGTTGTTTCTCTCCGAAGTATCCAACCTCTGAAGCTCCGTTTCTGTTCTCCATAGGAAAGTTCTATCCCTGACCTTCTCTCTTGCCTCTGATAACCCTGGCCTTGCCCAGTGAGAGTACCTGCCCAGCCCTGTCCTGGGTCACCGTGGGGACTGCCAGGCGTATTCTCAGGGACTGCCAGTGAAGGGGACTGTACCATGCTCAGATGGCCACAGGAAGGTGGGGGGCAGCGTGGGGTGGGCAGGTCCCCGTAATTTAAGCCCTGAAGCTTGGGAAGGATTAGCTCCTGAAATCAGACGGCTTTGGGGACTCTCCTGCATGTCACTCACAATCCAGGATGCTCCCCTGAGTGGGAGGGAACAGGCCCTGCCGGTTCCTAAGCTCTGGTGGTGTCTCCGCGCTGCTGGACAGGAGCTCGGCCCTGGGGGAGGGGTGCCTCATAGGGGACGCCATCGCCTTCCTTCAGGCCTCTTGTGGGGGTGGAAACAGGGCCAGGAACTCCCAGCCTAGTCATGATCCTGGAACATTCTCTTCTCACAGGAGTTCAATGTGGCCATTATCCTCCGGGCTGTCTCTTCAACCTTCTCTCTGCCTGTTCCCACGCAAACCTGGAGGGCTGTTGCTTAAGTTCAACTATGACTTCTTATCTTTTTAATCTCTAATGTTTATTTAGAGGGAAAACTCAGATTTGCAGTACGAAATATAAGTTTGTAAAACCCTTTTTATTTTTAAAATAATTATAGGTTCACAGGACTTGCAAAAACAGGAGATATATATATATATATATATATACTTGCAAAAACAGGTCTGGTATAGCCTTTATCCAGTTTCTCCCAATAATTACATTTATCTAAGTGTTGTTCAATATCAAAACCAAGGAAATGGACATTAGTACTGTGTGTGTGTGTGTGTGTCCCAGCTCCAAGAGACACATACAAATGACATTAAAATAGTAAAAAATCCTGATCTCACTGGCTAACACTTACTGGCTGCTTCCTGCATCTTCCTGCTTCCTGAAATTACCTCATTTCATAGTCATACCCTCTTCAAGGGTGAAATTATTATTACCCTCACTTTGTAGATGAGGAAACCCTGATCTGGGAGGTTAAGCCACCTGTGCAATGCCACGTCAGCTGGTAGGTGCCCGGGGCAGGCAGAATGTGATGAGGGCATAAACCAGGGTGGAGTGAAGGCTCTGAGAG